AATGTGATACATGTACAGCACAGAACGTTGTAATATATTTTAAGTTTAAATATAAACCAAACCTCAATTTATAGTTGTGTATATTCTAAACTTATTTGAAATAAAATTGCAGTGGTTTTGTTTTCATTATAACTGTAGTTTGGAGAGACATGGAGGGGGTAAATAACAAACAGACATATTTAACGTCTGGGTACTTTTCAAAGCTATGACGTTTTAGTATCTGATCACATTCGTATACGCCATTGTACATAGCCATTCATGCTTCCCAGCATTGTGTACTACTAGGTAGTATAAACTCAACTTTTATATGCGCAATGTGCTTTTTAGAACTTGGGTAAGAACATTGTTTGCAGGAATTTTTTTTAACAAAGGAACAGGGGCGCAGTGCCATCATGCCATGGCCAGATCCTCTGGCAACCACAAAATTCTGATTGACCAGGGATCACATGTGGTCACAGTTAAAGAATGTTTGATAGTGATTATGGCCCCAAGAAAGCCATAGAATGCAACATTTTAACTTACAATTATCTAAAACTCCACACCCTAGTAGGGAGAACCCTATCTTCCCCACTTGGTGGCGCCTCTGAATGACCGTGCTCTCTCTTGCAGCTTTTATCTAGAAAAACCCCTGCGTTTGATCCACAGTATATTCTGACAGTGAAATCCCAATTGCGTTAAAGTACCATACTTCAAGTTCCCCGATCATAAGCCCCTTCCAGAGTATTAGCCCATCCCTTTATTTTTAGACATTCATCGAGGGCATTCGTGATTATAAGCCCACATTGTTTTTTACCGGGCGTCGACGATATTCTCTGAAATATGTGTGTAAAAAGTGTGTTTTATTTCATAATAATCGTAGTTTGGTTCGTGCTTTTATGAGAAAACTCGCATTACCGGTAATATGAGATTGCATGGTGAACGTACACAACGTGGTTTGCATCCTTTCTATTCTATACTGAAGTAACCATATTTCTCTTAGTAGTAGCTTTTGGAAAGTCAAAAATGTGATCATCGAGGCGTGTACCTAGATATTAGACATGGTTTCATTAATCATTGAATTTGAGACTATCATGAAAGGGGTGTGAACGATGTGACCTGTTGGCGGCTGTGAAAGGTGTTTAAATACTTCCTCCACACTCAGTTTACCCACGGTTACTATTAACCATGGTTTACCTTTCTGGAATTGCGAATCGCCAGTTTTTTGGGAAAAAATCACTGCTTTTTTAGTTTTCGTTGCTACAGATTGCATTTTAACATTGCGGTCAAACCCAAAAACAAAAAGGTGGTCCTCGATTATAAGCCCATCCCTTATTTTTCCCGATTTTACGTGTTCATGCCCCTGATCATGGAAGTATTGTAGACTGTAGACTGTGGACTTAGCGGATGATAGTTTTATTTCAAATTGCAAGGCAGTCTGTGAACAATCTGCTTGGTGTTCCTGTGACAAATGTCCCGAACAATTATGACGAAAATTTTTCTACCATCACCTTACGTACTCAAGATACTCTAGCATTCAGACTTTGAAACAATTTGCATGCATTGAACAGTATTGGAAACATCATTTATTAGAAACCAGTTGGATAGAAAAACAAAACAAAATGTCTGTCTCGATCATTTGCACATCCATAATATTTGCATGTTGATACGCTTGTAAATAACATTAACATAAAAATTGAAACTCTCTAGGCTGGAAGTTAGTTCACCAATCCAGCCAACTATGGCTCTCCAAGTTGTTTATATATAATCAGATAGTATTTCATCATCATGCTTTGTTGGCTATCTTGTTTATGCCTAATGCGGTCGTTTACTTTATGGCAAGATGACGCAGACTGAAGTCCTTCACAGTTTTATGGTTTCTCATATTTAAATCATCATAACTCTGAAGATAATCATTTTTCATTTTTTTTTTTAAATTTATAATCAATATACATAACTTAAGAAATACCAACACCAAAATAGGCTATATTTAGTTCCCCTTTAAGATTTGTTCTTACTTATTGTTTGTTTGTTAGTCCCCGTTCGGACGCAGTCCGAAAACGAGGACTTATGTTTTGACCTACGTGCGTGCGTGTGTCTGACCCTGTATCTTAGAAATGCCTAGGCCAATCACAATCAAACTTCACACATACGCAATTTGTTTCATGATCTGATTCAAGATGGCCGAATGGCGGCCATTTTTGTGCTAAAAAATCATCAAAATCAAGCATTTTACTGATAGATTTTGTTCAAACTTGGTATATACGTTGAACATTATAGGACCTTGATGCACATCATTTTTTTCCAGATAAAATTCAAAATAGCCGACTGTGGTTGTGGTTCTAGTGCCATATCTCTTACTTGCTTTGACTGATTATGTTCAAATTTTAAATATTCATTATACATCATGTCATAGATATACAGATATATTGGTTTGACAATCCTATTAAAAATGGCCGAATGGTGGCCATTTTTGTGTTAACAAATCATCAAATATCAAGCATTTCTGGCATTTATGGATGGCTTTTGTTCAAATTTGGTATATACATTAGACATTATGGGTTCCTGATGCACGTCATTTTATTTTTCAGATCAGATTCAGAATAGCTGACTAGCGGCCATTTTGTTTTAATGAATGGGCTTCTAGAGCCATATCTCAGACAGGCTTTGACTGATTATGTTCGAATTTTATATATTCATTATACATGTATTCAAAATGGCTGATTTTGTTCCAGAGCAATATCTCTCAATACTTGTTTGACGATCAGATACAAATGTCAATCATTTTAATGTTAAAAAATCATATTCCTGACATGTTTACATGTATGTTCCAGCTACATGTATGTTACTATAAACAAAACTATATATCTTAAATTCAATAACTAACGGGGACTGTGTGCCATGCATGGCTTGTTTTTATAGTTGTGCCCTTTTTGATGATGATGATGCCACAATTTCTAGAAATCCTTGACTCATTTCAGTACTGGCTGTTGTTTAAATGTTTATATTGTTTGGCATTCACATTCCTGCATAAATGTGTTATGTAACTTTTTATTGTGTTGATAACAATGTAGTGATGAGCAGAAAACCGTGATATATGCTGGTATAATTACAGGTAACTTGTTGCATTGCCCCACAACTTGCTGCCTACTTAGCACAGTTACTAGTTAGAATGGTCACTCCGTGGCTTGGATGATTGAAAGAAGCAGTTTGAGTTCATTAATAGGTTTTGTGACTAAATAAAATAAATCCCTCTCTTGTAAAATTGAGGAGTGAGTCTAACTGTCACATCAAATATTGTAACATCATGATCATGGTTGAAGAAGACATCCCTGATCCAAGCACAGTCAGTGTCACATCTCCTCTTGCAGACCAACATGTCAGTGCTAATTGTCTGATTCCAATACTGTATGCAAAAAAAATAAATGATCACCACATCACATCTTTAAAACAGAGCAGTTAAAGCATCAAACCATTGGGACATGCCTCAATGATTCTCATACCAGCACAACCAACATGTACATATAAATGCTCAATTGTTCACCTTTATAAACGAAACAATAAAATGTATTCACAACCAGTGAATTCAAACCCAATAAATACCTTTTCAACGTCAAATCCTCTAAAATTAAACTCAGTGAATAATTTCTTATTCTACTGTAAATGGAAGATGTTAGAGTTCAAAATGTGTGATGGTGCTATCAGGGCTCTATCATATAGTTGTAATCAAATTCAGGGTGTCTGCACTAACAAATTTGGAACTTGTTAAGCAGGGTACTTGCATGTTAAAACATTGCGTTAACGTGAGGCTAACATTGTGAAAAACAAGTTTTGAGCTGTACTGTATCTGCAATATTTATTTATTTATTTATTTATTTATTTATTTATTTATAGTTTTCAATATTTTATTCTTTTTCAATGCATTGAAAAGGTGGCAAAATACTGCTAAAAAATGTCTAATTATGGAGTGACCTCTGATGTCCAATTACATATGAATTTTGTCAACGAAACTTTGGGTCTCTTTTATTCACATCTCTTGTAACATACAAATGTACCTTGAAATAGACACATGAAATATTGAAGAATTGTAAGAAAGTGTTATCCCCAAGATCATCTTAGCATTCAGCCAATGATTACAGTGGTATTCTTGCTTACACAGGTGGATGCAGAGAAAGCAGAAGAAGTTGCAGCACCTCCACCACCAAGACCTCGTAGAAGATCTGGTTTTTGCACCACCTGTGTGGTGTGTGTTTTAGCTTGTCTGATGGTTGCCGGAGGCGTGATTGGTGGCATGTTTTTATTTAAACATTTCACAAGAGGCAAAGTGAGTATTGTTTTCAGTGTTGTGAATGTCTGAGTTAATATTGTTATGTTTTTTCATTGTTCCTTACCTTTTTTCAGCTCCGCTGTTGTCTTTGTTGAGCAGAACTTATCATATGAGTGATTGTCCGTCAATGTCCGTCATCCATGTCAACTTTTTTTCTTTTTGTTTTTCTCCTTTTCTTTTTCTCCTTCTCTTTGAAAACTACAATTCTTATTGCTTTGTTACTTAGTGTATATGTACCTTGGACAGACCTCTCTCAGATTTGTTCATTTCGTTATAATATCTTCAATTCTCTAATTTTGATCATTTTTGGTAAAAAGTGATTTTTTCGATTTCAAGTTGGATTGCTTTGATACGATACATATAGGTACCTCAGGTAGACCTCTCTCAGATTTGTTCATTTTCTAATGATATCTTTAGTTCTTTAATTGAAATGTACATTGCTAACAGCGGAGCTACATGTATATCAGCCGAGAGGCTGCTTGTTCGGTTTTGCGCTTTTACTCGAGGGGACAAAGTATAATGTTTATCACATGGTTCATTACTATTGTTTTCTGGTGCACTGTCTGCCTCTAGGGGACAGTGTATGATGTTTATCACATGGTACATTACTATTGTTTTCTGGTGCACTGTCTTCCTCTAGGGGACAAAGTATGATGTTTATCACATGGTACATTACTATTGTTTGCTGGTGCATTGTCTCCCTCTAGGTTACAAAGTATGATGTTTATCACATGGTACATTGCTATTGTTTGCTGGTGCATTGTCTCCCTCTAGGTTACAAAGTATGATGTTTATCACATGGTACATTGCTATTGTTTTCTGGTGCACTGTCTGCCTCCAGGGGACAAAGTATGATGTTTATCACATGGTTCATTACTATTGTTTTCTGGTGCACTGTCTTCCTCTAGGGAACAAAGTATGATGTTTATCACATGGTACATTACTATTGTTTTCCGGTGCACCGTCTGCCTCTAGGTTACAAAGTATGATGTTTATCACATGGTAAATTACTATTGTTTTATGGTGCACTGTCTTCCTCTAGGGGACAAAGTATGATGTTTATCACATGGTACATTACTATTATCATGTGGTAATGTACTATTGTTTTCTGGTGCACTGTCTTCCTCTAGGGGAATATGATGTTTATCACATGGTTCATTACTATTGTTTTCTGGTGCACTGTCTTCCTCTAGGGGACAAAGTATGATGTTTATCACATGGTTCATTACTATTGTTTTCTGGTGCACTGTCTGCCTCTAGGTTACAAAGTATGATGTTTATCACATGGTACATTACTATTGTTTTATGATGCACTGTCTGCCTC